CTTGGTATTATTTATTGCATTTAAAGATGCAAATACCTTATGATCCAGAAATTTCTTTGAAACATACCTAGTAAAAGTTCTTTTTGTAATTTTTTAAATATATATTTTTAATTTTTATTTATTTTTGAGAGAGAAAGAGACGGAGTGTGAGTGGGAGAGGCGCATGAGTAGAGGAGGGGCAGTGAGAGAGGGAGACACAGAATCTGAAGCAGGCTCCAGGCTCTATGCTGCCAGCGCAGAGCCCGACATGGGGCTCGAACCTATGAACCATGAGATCATGGCCTGAGTCAAAGTTGGATGCTTAAGTGACTTACCCACTCAGATGCCCCTTTTTTTAGGTATATTTTTTTAATGTTTATTTTAATTTTGAGAGAGAGAGACTGAGCATGAACAGAAGAGGAGCAGAGAGACAGGGAAACAGAATCCAAAGCAGCAAAAGTTCTTTTAAGAATCAAAATCTGGAAATAACTAACATTCCCACTGACTAAGGATTTAGCACTTAAACTGTATATTCATATAGTACTGTATGGGATATGATATATATGGTATGTATAATGTAAATTATATATATTATGTATTGTGTACATATACAATCTCATGATGGACAAATCTCATTGAAAACTTTTGGGTGAAAATAAGCAAGTTATGCATGACAACACTTGAGTTTATTTATATAAATTTAAAGGTATGAAAAATATAATATTTAAGGACATATGCATATGCAATAAAACTACAGAGAAGACAATAATAAATACAAATAACAGGACTTTTTAAAATCTGGATATCAGGGAGAGGATAATATTAGAGAAAATGTATTGATAAATCTAATTTATTAAGCTGAGCAGTGTTTGATTCCATTTTATATTTTATATGTCATAAATACTATTCTGTAGGTTTAAAGTATTACATAATCCACTTGAACAAAACAATGCAAGATTCTTCCTTAGAACTCTGCTACTTTCACAGATTAATTTCCACATAAACTTTAGTGTTATTTTGGTGAATTAAAAATGTTCCTGTTGCGGGGCGCCTGGGTGGCGCAGTCGGTTAAGCGTCCGACTTCAACCAGGTCACGATCTCACGGTCCGTGAGTTTGAGCCCCGCGTCGGGCTCTGGGCTGATGGCTCAAAGCCTGGAGCCTGTTTCCGATTCTGTGTCTCCCTCTCTCTCTGCCCCTCGCCCGTTCATGCTCTGTCTCTCTCTGTCCCCAAAATAAATAAACGTTGGAAAAAAAAAATGAAAAAAAAAATGTTCCTGTTGGGATTTAATTGAACGCATATTGAACATTATAATACACTAAAAAAAAAACCCAACACCCTGTTTTCAACGTTTTTTTTTTTTTTTTTAAATTTATTTTTGGGACAGAGAGAGACATTGCATGAACGGGGGAGGGGCAGAGAGAGAGGGAGACACAGAATCGAAACAGGCTCCAGGCTCTGAGCCATCAGCCCAGAGCCTGACGCGGGGCTCGAACTCAGGGACCGCGAGATCGTGACCTGGCTGAAGTCGGACGCTCAACCGACTGCGTCACCCAGGGGCCCCAACCAACACCCTGTTTTCAAAAGCAGTGAAAGTGTTCTACTTGTTCATATTTCTTTGTTCTTCAGGAGAGCCTTAAACTTTCCTTCGGATATATTCCACACGTTTTTGGTAAGCTTTTTCCTAAGTGGTTGATATTTGTTGTTCTTGTAAGTGGAATCGTTTCACTTGTTTCAAACAGAAAGGCCTTACATTCTGATCTATTCATCTCTTCAGCCATCAATTTGGATTCTCTTTTTCTTGTCTCTATTTTTTCCATTGAGTTCGTGATTGGTAATCGTGTCATTTCTAATTACTGGTAATTTTAAGGAGGAAGATTTAATAGTTTTGACACGAGTTCTCTACTGAGCTGGCAGTAGTTTTGCCACTCAGGTAATTGAGGAGATGAGCCCACCTGAGCATGCTGTCATAGAAGAGTCAGACTTCGAGGAAGAATTAGTGTAGATGACAGAGGTTGTAAGTTCTGATATTCAGTAATTATAATCCTACCCAGAAACGAAGTCTTCAGACAGTTTCTTAAGTAATACTTCCTTTTCTCTGTAACATAGAAAAGTGAATTTGACACCTGAAATCTGTGTTTGCTTTCAGTATTTTATGTAACTGTCCTCTCTCATAAATAAAAGTGAAAATAAAAAGCCCTATGATAAAATGCATACTTGCACGAAATAACTGCACATTTCTATTTATTAGATGAAGTTGGCCAAGGTTGATCACCCTTAGCACCATGAGAAAGGAGACAAACACCAAATGATTTCAGAATAGTTAGAAACTATCACTAAAACCTAAGTGCTGCAAAACCCATTATACATCTTAACAAGAAAACTAAATATAAGGTGTCAGAAACTCTTCAGAATAGAAGTTTTAGGCAAATAATGAAATTAATAGAACATTTCCCTTTCAATAGTAAATAAATAGAAATGATTGAACTAATGTATTTTATGTAGCGGTCTATATGTTTTACATATAACCCCATAAAATGCAATAGAAATAGCATCCATGCTATTGAGGAATTTGGTATTACACTCTTTAGCTTTGAAAGAATACTTTATTTCTTTGTAGTTGTTGCTTCAGTATATTTAAAGAAATCATGCTAATTACATAAATAAAGACCACCATATTGTTCAATTTCCCCCTTCCACTGGGGAGAGTCAATAAATGCGTGTGCCTTTATTGTGTAGTGAAATCTGCACACTTACCATTTCTTTGAGATAAACTGGATCTTCTTGGCTGTCTTCACACCTAATTTGTTGTAAATTGCATCATCATATTAAGTCAATATCACTGCCAAAACGTGGTGGGCAGACGGAAAATCAAATTAGAAGAGTAAATGAAAAAAAGAAGTCAAGAAATAAGGCTTTCCAGGCTTTCTCCTAGCTGTGGTTCCTAAGAATTGCTCTGGGGAAAAGAGAGCACAGTGGACAAACTTTGATTTTAGCCTCCAAGTTCTACTCATAAGCTCTGATTTTGGTAAATATAAATGCTGCCATTGGAGTTACAATGGTGTTTATGCACCTATTGGCATTGTAGTAATTTTGATTTTTTTGAATTTAAGAATAATTCAGACACAAAATGTACTTTTTAAGAAATCAGATTGTTGGGGCGCCTGGGTGGCGCAGTCGGTTAAGCGTCCGACTTCAGCCAGGTCACGATCTCGCGGTCTGGGAGTTCGAGCCCCGCGTCAGGCTCTGGGCTGATGGCTCAGAGCCTGGAGCCTGTTTCCGATTCTGTGTCTCCCTCTCTCTCTGCCCCTCCCCCATTCATGCTCTGTCTCTCTCTGTCCCAAAAATAAATAAATGTTGAAAAAAAAAAAAAAAAGAAATCAGATTGTTGCTTCAGTAGATGAATAGCAATTGCTTTAACACCTTTAGTTAAGATTGTTTACAACAACTATCTTGAATTTGTTTTAATCTTGTGTCTGTGGAGCAGACACACCATTATGATTTGGGAAAAGCTCTGTAGCTCTGAGCGCTAAACTAAGATAGTTTACAGATCACAGGGAAAAGTTCCTACAGCAGCACATTGGGATACCTCTGTCCTAAGCAAGTTTCAAAGGATAAAGGCCAGCTTCTTCATCGTGTGCTTGGATTTAAAATATTACCTCTTTGCCAGTCATTTGGGAGTCATTGAAATAATAACTTAAATCAATTAAACGTTGTTTAAAAATAATGTAAAATTAGATTCACATCTTGTTTCAAGCACATTTAACTCAGTGGCTTATACTGTATTCTTAGAAAATTATTAAGAAATTGTTTTCACCTTCAAAGTTACAGAATTACAGATGTACAGCTGAATACAATTCCACACCCCAATGACTTTGAAACTGAACAATTCTAATGGCTAAAGCTCAGATTTTTTCCATTGCTTTTGACTTCAAAAATCTTTAGGTGATTACTTTCCTCAACACTACTATTAGGATTTTGCAAAGTGAAAGAAACTATAAAAGGTGAAATGTGAGGAGAAAACCTTAACAGTGACAATATTGCTTGCTACATGATCTTTAAAAGACTTAAATGAGTTGTTATTTAGCTCCCACAAGTGACACCTTGCCAGTGGAGGATAGCGTATTCACAGTGGCAACAGAGGTTTGCATTGGTTGCCAGTGAGGTCTCTGTTATTTTTAAAGTTGTTTACAGCGTTTCAAACTTCTTCCTGCTCTATCTTCTTTTCTTTTCTTTCTTTTTTTAAGATTATTTATTTGTTTCTTTGTCTATTCATTTATTTAGAGAGAAAGAGAGTGTATTTGTACAAGCAGGGGAGGGGCAGAGAAAGAGGGGGAGAAAATCTTAAGCAGACTTCATGCTGTCAGTGCAGAGCCTGACTCAGGGCTCCATCCCATGAACTGTGAGATCATGACCTGAGCCCAAACCAAGAGTCAGATAGTTAAGTGACTGAGTCACCCAGGCACCCCTGATATATATTATTATTATTTTATAACTTTTTTTTAACGTTTATTCATCTTTGAGAGACAGAGAGAGACAGAGCATGAATGGGGACGGGGCGGAGAGAGGGAGACACAGAATCAGAAGCAGGCTCCAGGCTCTGAGCTGTCAGCACAGAGCCCAACGTGGGGCTCGAACTCACGAACTGCAAGATCATGACCTGAGCCAAGGTCGGATGCTCAATCAACTAAGCCACCCAGGCGCCCCAGATATATATTATTTTCTTAATGTTTTTTGTTGTTGAAAAAATGTTCACAAAGTATTGTTTATTAAAACCATACCATTGCATCTAATCCTATCATTTTGCATTTCGGTAATCTGTGTTGTAAAAGATAATTATTTTTTAATTATGTAGGCAATACATTTTGTTATTTGGTAAATATTTTTCACTGTTAACTTTTTCCAGTGTTAGAACATTTCTATCTCTTGTATTCCACTAAGCAAATCTAACAAATACACATCTGCAATACTATGACTTAATTATTCAGATACTCTGATCATTTTTTTTTTTTTTTCATTTACTCAGCTATGATTTTTTGAGTGCCTAGTATTTGCCAGGCAACATGCTAGGCACTGATATTTCATGACTAGACACATACAATATCTGCTGCTACAAAATTATCATCCAATGAAGCTAATGAAGCCCTATTTAAAAGCTGGGGTGAAAAATAAATAAATAAATAAATAAATAAAAGCTGGGGTGGATTGAATGTAAAGGTTTTTCATTTTTTCCACAAATATTGGGCATTAAAATGTGCCTGGTGCTGTGATCAGTTATAAGAGATTACAGAAATATGACATTTTAAACAAGTTAAAATTCAGAAGGCTGTATTAAATTTATGTATATAGGGCCAAAAATGATTAAATCTAGAAAGGAAATCAAAACAGACCGGAAGACTAAACTACTGATTGACCCGGGGGGGGGGGGGGGGACGCCAAATGCTGTTCGAAGTAGGTAGGGACTGAAATAAGCATTAAAGGATGGATGTATGAGGTTTGAAAGAAAGAGGTTAGAGTTAAGCTTTCTGGACAAATAGAAGGAAACACCCCAGTAGAGAGCTGTGAGAACAATGGCCAGTGTGTTCAAGTGTTATTTTGGTAGACTAAAGAATAAAGCTCATGGTCAGCAAATGCTGTTATCAGGTACAATGCAATTGAAATAAATAAAAGTGAGGTTAGGATCGTATTGTTAAGGATTAAGCCTAACTCTGCAGGCTGTAGGCTGTTCCAAATGTTTTGATTCCATAGTTGTACATATTCTTAGTTGTACTTGAAGAATATTAATTTATCTATTAAGATGATGGCGCAGCTGTGCAGTGAAGGAGGAATTGAATGTGGAGACAGCAAATTCAGGTTGGAGCAGGCTTAATTTGAGGTGTCAGGGAGATAAGTGTTAGGATAGATCTGGAAGGCAGTTGTATATATGAGCTAATCTCTCTAGAGAGCAGTCTAAATTAGCAATTTGATTTGGATGTGCTACATCTACAGCCGTATAAATTGTATAGAAGTTAAGGCGGTGACTGCCAGCAGCCATAGTAAGTGTGAAAAGGATCCTGTAATTGAACATAGGCCTTTTTTTTTTTTTTTTTTTTTTTTTAAGAGAGAGAGAGAGGGGTGCCTGGGTGGCGCAGTCGGTTAAGGGTCCGACTTCAGCCAGGTCACGATCTCGCGGTCCGTGAGTTCGAGCCCCGCGTCAGGCTCTGGGCTGATGGCTCGGAGCCTGGAGCCTGTTTCCGATTCTGTGTCTCCCTCTCTCTCTGCCCCTCCCCCGTTCATGCTCTGTCTCTCTCTGTCCCAAAAAAAATAAATAAAAAACGTTGAAAAAAAAAAAAAAAGAGACAGAGAGCGAGCAAGGGAGGGGTAGAGAGGGAGGGAGGGAGAAAGAGAGAGAGAGAGAGAGAGAGAGAGAGAGAACGAATCCCAGGTGGGCGAGAAGTCTTTAGAAATCTGAAGAGAGTCTGCTGACAGTGCAGAGCCCAACGCAGGACTCATACCCATGTACTGAGAGATTGTGACCTGAGCCAAAATCAAGAGTCAGTTGCTCCATTGACTGAGCCATCCAGATGCCCCTAATTTTTGTTTTTAAGTAAACCCCAGATCATGCAGAATGTCCATTGATCTGACACTGATAACGTTAGGTGTTTTTGTTTTCTTTATTGTTATTGTTATATTTTCTTAGTGACCAAGATGGTCTTAACATTCCCCTCAGCTTGATTACATTTTAAATAGATTTCTTTCTGATTCTAGGCTCCTTACTTCCTTTTTCTTAGAACATTTATACCAGAAAAATTGCAGTTATAAACTCTTTCTCTGCCCATTTCAGATGTAAATATTCTCCCAGCCTCTTGTCAGCTTTATAAACCAGGAACATCTTTCTCAGGGACCTGTGAGTCATCTCTTTGGAATGTAATCATCAGTAGAGATAGGGACCATATTTCTGGTTTCTGTGGTAGGGAAGGCGCCTAACTTCCATAAGGGAGAATTAGCAAACACAGATGGTCTGTTGTGTGTGTGTGTGTTTTTTTTAATGCTTATTTATTTATTTGAGAGAGAGAGAGTTAGTTAGTTCATGTGGGCTAGAGCAGGAGAGGGACAGAGAGATAAAGAAAGATTGAATCCCAAGCAGTCTCTGTACTATCATGCAAGATTGCGATATGGGGCTTGAACCTGCAAACCATGAAATCATGACCTGAACCAAAACCAGGAGTCACTTGCTTAACCAACTGACTCCCCACAGGCACCCTCACAGATGGCCTGTCGTACAGGTGTTGTAAACCTATCATTTTGCACCTACCTCCCTTTCTATGGCACCTATTTCCCTTCCTATGATTCATAAATATACACATGAGTCAGACCTAAGTGAATAAATGGATGACATTTCCCTGAACAAAAATCATTCCTAGGGCCTGACTTCACCCAGTCAGAAGGAGGTCCCAGTCTTTATTCAGTGACTGAGTGATGTGGTGTAATGCATAACCCCACTGCCTAGAGAGTGAAGGTATTAAAAAAAAAATAGAATGTTCTATTTTATGCTCAAGCATCATCTCCCATTATAGCTTGCCTCAGACTAAGAATTGGGGTAATTAAGTTGTATGTGCCCCTCTATTAATGAAGATTTTCTAATTTTGCTTTGTTTGTTTTGGCTTTATACGATATTTGTGAGAGTCATCATAGTGAGTAGGGAAGAGAATTAACTGGTAGTACTCCCCTTACAGAGATATGTAAAAATAACATAAGATGTTTAGGGGAAACACTTAGCGCCATGATTTTGTAATCACCAAGTGTTAGTCACCAAGTATTTATACGTGCTCTAGTTTTTTTTTCAATTCTACTGATCTTCCACAAGACAAAATACTTTTTGAAATTTTTTGAAACTTCTTGATTTTCTTTTATTATTATTTCCTCCATCTCTATGTAATATATTTTTTTCCTAATACAAAAAGTATATAGAAATATTCTGTAAACTTTCTTCCCAAATAAATATGATGTTGCAATCACCAATCATTAACAGGACTGCTGTTTGTCTCAGCAGGAAAATGACACTCTCCCCGTGGAAGGCTAGCATCATCCTCTTGATGTGTCAGTGTTCTTGATTTTATATGGGGCTACGGAATGCATGCCCGTGTCTGTTTAGGAGTGGGGGAGAAATCTGCAGGCTGGGGCAGGATACCAGAGCTCTAGTGGAGGTGAGGACAACATCTATATAAGGGAAGTGATTTACTGGCAAAATGTGAACTTAAACAAGTATAAAAAGGATAGAGAATGAGAAACTTCTCTCTCAACTCTATTCCTCTTTGTCCCTGTTCCCATTCCTTACCCCCCAGTGGTCACTATTGTTAGTCACATTGTATCTTCCCAGAGATGATTTTTATGCATGTTTAAGCCAATAACTATACATTAGTCTTCTTCTTTTCAAAAAAAAAATTGTAGAATATGCCTGTACTTTTGCCCTTTGCTTTTTTGACTTAATAATATATCTGGAAGCTTTTCTGTATCAACACACAGAGTTCTTCCTATTTCTTACATATACCACCAATTTTTTTATTGCTTTATTATTTTCCATAGTTTTTAACCACTCCCCCGTTTGTGGACTTTTTGGTTGTGTAAATCTATTGCTCTTACAAATAATACTCTAGCGAATATGAATAATTCATAAATACATTTCACAGCAGTCATTGCAGACCCCATACTTCCTTTTGCCATGCTGTATTTTATTGTTAAATTATCCTGATTCAACCTCAAGGTTAACTAGCTGTTTAGGATGCCACAAGTCAAATTATTTGTGAATGTATCTCAATTTTACAAGTAGTCTTTTCTATAGTAAGGACTTGTGTATTTTATTATTTTGCTACGTATAGAACTCAGCCTAACTTTTTCTTCTCTTTTTTGGCTTCTGAATAGCACATTGGTGACAACTGTTGCATTATAGCAGTTTGAGAAAACTGGATTGCTTTGTATGCCCTGATTTATGTATAATGGGAACAATATCCTTTGAATTCCATGGCACAATGTAAATTGGTGTACGTTTTTATTTCTTTTCTTTTCTACTTGACAATCCATCAACGATATATACGTGCTGTTCACAGTAGGTGGATTGAGTGTTTTCTTGAAGAATTTTGAGCCATAAATACTTTATTCGTTCTAATACTCATGGATGCAGTATTGTCCAGGATTGATTCTTTACTTCAATAAAATAATATACAAATAAAAGCTTGATGGAAAAGTGCCCTAAGTAGAATTTAACTTGTTAAATTATGAATGCCAGGCTCTCTGCAGAAGTGGTGGCTGGGTCATTGAAGAAGATTTAATAAGACTGCCTTTTCTCAATCACAGAATAAAAATCTCAAGGTCTAACTTGTGTTAAGTATACATTGATATTGTCGCCAACTGATTGGCTGAAATCCAGACAACATGCTCCATTCTTGTCGCTGAGGGGGTACAGCCCTTATTCCAACCTCAAGAACTGACAATAAGTTTGCAGACTAGTCCCTAAACCTAATTAGGTAGGATTCTACCATGAGGTCTCTGAGTAGTCCTGCCAGAAAAGTCTATTTAACTTTTTATTCTAAAATGCCACAAATATTTCACAATATGGTAGCTATTAACAATTCCACCTGTTTACAGCTGATGGGACAGTAAAGATCTGTACATAATTGTTGGGAAATGCTACCCTTACAATGAAAATGAAAACCATCTTCCTTCATATTGGAATATTAAGCTATTTTACACACATAGTTTACACACACATAGTTTTTATTTTTACTACATGGAAAATACCAACTGGTATTTTTTGGAGTCATTAATGATATGACTCCCATTATACATTTCACTATTTATGAATTTTCTAATTTCTTTAAAGTCAAAAAGTTGTATGTTCTAATGCCATCCATGTAATGACATGTCTTATAACATTTCTAATAAACACGTTTAATGGGCATAAATCATAGCATTTAGACTTCGAGCAACCGACTAAAGGATTCTAGTAGGTAAAACCATACTTGCTTTGACTAGGGTGCGAGTTGACAAACTTTTTCAGTAGAGGGCAAGATAATAAATATTCTAGGTTCTGAGGGAAAGAATTGAATTTGAATATATTATTTAGGTACTTAAACAACTTTTTAAAATGGTTGGGGCACCTGTGTGGTTCATTAGGTTAAGCATCCAGCTTCAGCTCAGGTCATGATCTCGCGGTTAGTGAGTTCGAGCCCCACGTCAAGCTCTGTGCTCACAGCTCAGAGCCCAGAGCCTGCTTCGGATTCTGTATCTCCCTCTCCCTCTCTCTGCCCCTCCCCTGCTTGCTCTCTGTCTGTTTCTCACTCTCTCTCTTTGTCTCTCTCTCTCTCTCTCTCTCTCAAATAAATCAACATTAAAAAAATTAAAACAAATATTTAAAACAT